TCTTTAGTTTCTTTTGCATTTATTTCTGCCCTGATTTTTAAGATTTCTTTCCTTCTACTAACCCTGGGGTTCTTCATTTCTTCCTCCTCTAGTTGCTTTAGGTGTAGAGTTAGGTTATTTATTTGACTTTTTTCTTGTTTCTTGAGGTAGGCCTGTAATGCTATGAATCTTCCCCTTAGCACTGCCTTTACAGTGTCCCATAGGTTTTGGGTTGTTGTGTTTGGATCTTGACCCACTTACCTTATGTGTAGTGAAATAGTCATTAAAACAAGACAATGTATATCAAAACTAAGAGTCACGTTATGTCCATAGTTAAAGTAGAAAGTGTTGCACCAGTCCATCTTAGGGTTGTTATATGTCATCAGATTAAGAAGAGGCATCACACACGATTGTTGTTGAAGGTATTCACGGACTTGGAGAAAGTCTTGCCTTTGAAGTGGAGATGTCCACCATGGGAAGCCTTTCACTGATGAAAAGGGGAGTGCTCCACAGACCCAGCAGTTAGACTGATTGTGCAGTGCAGCATAGGAGTGAGCCCAGGACAGGAAGGCATTGTCTTGAGGATCAAACGGCAGACTTGGGATTTTTGGAGTCAGCAGAAGTAGGCTCACATAGATTATCAGGCCCATTTGAAAAGCACAAAGTCAGAGCATAAAAAGTGAAGACATAAAATGATGCCACTTAGTTCTGGTCAGGGTGCCACCTCTTAAACTCGAGTGTGATGCACCCATGAATCAATTCCTGGCACTTTGTCAACTGTGGGAGAAGAAAGAATAACCTGGTAAGGGCCTTCCCAGGGGTTTTCGAGGGTTGGCCCCAGATCCCAATGTTTTTTATCAGGACCTCAGTTCTTGGCTCAAGTAGAAGCTTGCCTGATTCAGAGGCTGGGTCAGGAGTCACCTCCCGGAGTTCCATTAATGCCTGTTGAAAAGCTGAGAGCTGAGTTACATAATTAGTTAATTCTAAGGCTTCAGGCACTCAGCCTTCTTAATGATTGAACTCAGATATCTGTACATGACTACTGAAAAACCATAGCTTTGACCATATGGACCTCTGTTGGCAAAGTGATGTCTCTGCTTTATACTATGCTGTATGGGTTTGACATGGGTTTCCGTGGTGGCTCAGTGGTAAAGAATTCGCCTGCATGGGTATACCTATGGCTGATTCTTGTTGATGTTTGACAGAAAACAACAAAATTCTGTAAAGCAATTATCCTTCAATTAAAACATGAATAAAGTGGCAAAAAAAAAAAAGAATCCTTCTGCAATGCACGGGATGCAGGAGACATGGGTTTCACCCCTAGGTTGGGAAGATCCCCTGCCATGCCCCATGGGAGGAGGGCATGGCAATCCACCAAAGTATTCTTGCCTGGAGAATCCCATGGACAGAGCCACCTGGCAGGCTACAGTCCAAGGGATCGTAAAGAGTGAGACACGACTGAAGCAATGAGCATGCATGCATACTAGCTTTTTCATAGCTGTTCTTACAAGGATCAAGTGTCTCAATTACATGGCAGCAATCACCATCCACAGTGATTTTGAAGCCTCCAAAATTAAATCTGTCCGTGCATCCACTTCCCCTCTTCTGTTTTCCATGAAATGATAGGACTGAATGCCATAATCTTATATTTTTGAATGCTGAGTGTTAAGCCAGCCTTTCCACTCTCCTCTTACACCTTCATCAAGAGGTTCTTTAGTTCCTCTTTGGTTCCTGCCATTAGAGTGGTATGATCTGCACATCTGAGCTTGTTGATATTTTGCCAGCAACCTTGATTCCAGCTTGTGAGTCATCCAGCCCAGCATTTCCCATGATGTGCTCTGCATGTAAGTTGAATAAGCAGCGTGACCATATACAAACTTGTCTTCCTCCTTTCCCAATTTTGAAACAGTCCGTTGTTCCATGTCTTAATCTAACTGTTGCTTCTTGACCCTCATACAGGTTTCTCAGGAGACAGGTCAGCTAGTCTGGTACTCCCATCTCTAATAATTTTCCACAGTTTGTCATGATCCACACAGTCAGAGGCCTTGAGGCAGTCTAGCCAATGAAGCAGAAGTAGATGTGTCTCTGGAATTCCCTTGCTTTCTCCATGATCTAAGGAATGTTGCAATTTGATCTCTTGTTTCTCTGCCTCTTCAAACCCAACTTGTGTATCTTGAAGTTCTCATCCCATATGCTGTTGAAGCCTAGCTTGAAGGAGTTTACTAACCAGGAGGCTTCAGAAATATGGGACAATATAAGCTTGAGAAATTGGAGGGTGTGAGTGAAGCCCAATAAGAGACAAGAAGAGGAATCTCTACTTTGCATGTTGTTAGCAAGCTGGGCAAGGGCTAGACCATACCTTCAAGTTCTTGTGTAGGACAGTAGCCTTTATCTAGAAAGTCATAGACAGTTCTGCAACTGTAAGAGAGGGAGGGAGAGGGCGGTGGGTGGGAGACAGTCACCCTGAGTGGATGTGAGAGACCGGTTAGAAGGGGGTTGACAATTAAATGGAGGGAGGCTTTGGACTAGAGCAGATATGGTGGACATGGAAAAAAGTAGATGCATTAGACATTTTCGAAGTAAAGGGGACAGAAGTCAGCAAGAATATGGAATTGAAGTGAAAGAGAGGGAATTGGAAACATGGTTAAGACCAAGTTTCTGTGTCCTGTCATAAGGGTACAAAGGTGTCATGGGAAATCCTGGAAGTTGGCCAGGTTTGGGAAGAATTCCAAATAATATTTTTATGTTTCTGAGCTCATGGTATAGATGGATATAATAGCCAGTATTTACATACTTAAAAGTTCCTTGTCCTTTTTATAAAAGTGAGAAGTATTGATATATACTTTATATATAATAGAAGTCAATGCTTTAAAGCATTACCGTTTGTTGAGTTTTGACATATGCATACCATCATGTAAATGCTATCACAATAAAAATGTGGAAAACGTCCCACATTGGTTTGAAAATGCTCCCTTGGACTATTTGCATTCAGACTCCTTCCTCCACTCCTATACACTGGCAACCAAAGATATATTTCTGTGCCTATAGTTGTGCCTTTTCCAGAAATCCATTGACATGAAATCATATAATACATAGCTTTCTGTGTCTGACATCTCTCATTGGCACAGCTGAGATGAATCCTTGCCATTACATGCATTAGTAGTTCCTTTTTAAATGACTGTGTAGTATTCTTTTGTATGAGTATACTCTCTTGGTTTTCTTTCATCTATATACCAGTTGTTGAATAGTTTGGCTGTTTCTAGTTTTGGCTATTAAGAGTACATGAGTAGAATATTTGAGTAAAGGTCCTTGTGTGAGCATGTTTTCCTTTCTCTTCAGTAAAATTGGGTAAAATTAAACCTCCTAGTAAGTATGAAAATTTCTGCTGTAATAGAAGAAGAATGCGCTACTGGAGAAGAGTGAAGAAATAGCTACAGAAGGAATGAAAAGGGTAAGCCAAAGTGGAAACAACATCAGCTGTGGATGTGTCTGGTGGTGAAAGTAAAGCCCGATGCTACAAGAACAATATTGTATAGGAACCAGAGGTATATTCAAAGAAATCAGTTACCAGGTCAGAGATTTAAATGTACAGTGCTCCAAGCAAAAAAAGGAAACAGGGGTATCTATTTATGTATTTGTTCCATGGAAGTGAGTAAAGCCATTGCAAGCATGCTGGAAAACCCAGAAGCAGAGAAGGAAATGGTTCATCAAAGCATGTATAAAAATAGGTATTTAAAACCCTAATGTCTAGTTCTGTCATGAGTGTCTTTCTGAGACACATGCTCCACTAAGGGTAACCTGGGACTACCTATCACCACAGTTTGTGGATGCATAAGAAAGACTGCACTGGAATGAAAAAAAAAAATAGTCTTCAAGCCCCTTGCTCATCCTCCAGAGACCCTGCTGTTCCAGGACTCTACCTCAGTGGCGGGAAAACCTCAACCTGCACAGCTCACGCCCAACTCAGGAAGCATGTGCAGTGTACCCCTTGTTGCGCATGCGCCTCGGTGCACATACGCCTTCCTGAACGTTCTGTGAGGAGTGTTGGGCTTGAGACGGGTGTGTTTATTTAGTCCTGGTTCTTTCTGACCACTTGAGACTCACCAGGTAGGTCCACAGATCTGTCCTGTCTGGAGGTTAAGTGTGCCTGCTTGTGAGTGGGAGCCAGCGAGTTTCAGGTGGGTCGGGCAGTGCAATCTGGGGCCTTTGAGGAGGAAGGCCCTCGAGGTCATCATCTTTCTCCTCACAGGTGTCGAGACGCCCTAGTTCTTGTCCTCGTGGCGGGACAGGAAGGGCCGTGGGGAGAGGAGGGCAGGGGGTCAGATGACAGTGGGGGGAGACTTGGGAGTGCTATTTGAGATATCTGGTGCACTGGGGCCCTGGAACTGATGACAGAGCACAGAATCTGGGGCCGGCAGTGGGACCTGGGCAGGGGGCGGGGTGGGCGATTAAGGAGAGACCTAGAAACAGGACCGCGGTGGGTTTGTGACCCTATCGCGAGTTTTGTGGTAAGGTGCCAAGAGAGAAGTGGACTGGTATGCTCTGTATGCAGACTCACCTAAGTCACAGATGCTGAGAAAATAGTCAGGCTGTAAGGACTAACCCTATCTTCCTGTTCCCACTGAATTCCAAGGGAGTTGGGGAAAATAGGTCTGGTGAATAGGAGTGTGACAAGAGCAATAGTCCTGAATTTTTAAATTCCTAGCAGTATTTCACTAAATATCTTCATGATGGAGAATTCTTTTCTGAAATCAAACTTCCTCACAACAATTCTCTGTCTTCTTGTGTACCTTAAGGTGATTTCTCTGCCAGCTTAGCGAGGATACAAATGGCTTTGCAAGCAACTGTATTTGGTGTAATTGGAATGCATGTACACTCATACTTAACCAGAGTTTTCTTTTGAAAGTATTTTCACAGTTTTAAAACAGAGTAAGTCAACATATGGTCATAAAAGTGATCAAAAATAGCTGTACTCTTAAATACATTTTCTAAATCACAATATTCTACTTTAAGGGAGAAATATGAGTGGACAAGTGGCATCAACATTGGGACCTACAGGTCAAGATTCTTCCCAGCTGGATGAACCTGTGTTTGTGAGTCCCGTACCATTTGATATTTTCTATTAGCACAAATTTACTTTTGAGAAAATGATGTTAAGTAATGCAGATGCAGTGATAAAGGTCTTCCGTGCTGACAAAGGGTGACAGTTTGTCTTAGGAAGGAACACTGATCCAGATATATTACAGTCTGGTGTTACCTGGTTGAGTATACTGTGAAATTCCCTGGAAATGTGCCCAGTGACTCCCTCCTCCTGCTTATTAATAACAGATTGCACACTTCCATCTCAGCATAGATTTAAATAGCTTCCAAAGTCTTTCTGGGTAACTCTTATGGGAGCTAACTCTTCTCTGTGGGAAGAGTAACTTTATTAAAAGTAAGTACATAGAATTGTGTTGGGAAAATGTTGTTAGGTTTACTTATGATTAGATATATCTGTGTATTATGTATATTTATGCTGTTAGATGTGTTAACAACAAAAAGATTTATTTGCATGCACACTCTCCTAGGACCAGCAGCCCAGTGTTGAGCAACCTCAACAAGAGGAACCACCAGCTGAGATTCAGGATATCACACCTGGAAAGGAGGAAGTCGATGGAGAGGATCCAGTGAATCCTGATGAAGAGAGGGAGAAGGATGCCCCTGGAGGTAAAGTGTATGTGTGCATCATGTCTTAAGACATAACCAGTAAGAGGAGGAAAGGAAACATTAGAAAAGGACTTCAGACAGTTCCTAAAAAAAACTGAGGAGAGTATAGTTTGCAGGTTAGTGTGGTCGCTCAGACGTTCCCTTGTTTTCAAGACAAAGAGGAGGGGGCAACTGAGTTGTCTGAGGACAGCCCTGGAAAAGGAAAGTGGTAATAGCATTCAGAAACTTCTGCTTTCCTTTTTCTCCAGCAAAACATTCCTGGAATAATGCTCCTGAGGTTCTTATTCATTACATCTTTACCATACTATCCTAAGGCTTTTAATTCATAACACTGAGGGAATTAATATCATCATTCCCTTGTTTATATTGTATGCTTTACAGCTGAATTCATATATTGTTTTTAAAGATTCTGTCCTGGAAACTGATCTCCGGGAATTGGCTGTGGCAACGACTGGGGGTCAAGGTGGAGATGGTCCTGATGTCAAGGAGGAGATTGCGTCAAATACAGAGCCTGTTGAAATGCCAGAAGCAGGTATGTCATCCATTCAGAAAGTAATTTATGTGGTTTCTATTTTTCCAGAATATTATATCTTTAATAATATAGAGGGAACACTACTATTATTTTAATAACAGGGTTCACATATTCTTTGAAAGATAGTTCAGACCCCATTTGCCTGAGTGCCTGACTTACAGACTTTTGAATAAATAAACAGACAGGATCAAAGCCATATCGAATTGAAAATAGGAAACTGTTTTCTTCTCTTGTATAAGTACTTTAAGCAACAGCTAATAATTTTCAAGTTCTTTTATAATTTCTGCTTGTAACAAATATGGAATACATTTGTAATAAATATCAGTTTATATGAAATATACTCAGGCATTCAAGTAGGTTCTAGTACCAGCTTTAACATAATGTGTGTGATTCTGTGAAATCCCTTAACTTCTAAACTCAATTTTATTCATATAAGTTGTGAATTCAGAACAGATACACTAAAATGCTCATTTTTCAAAGCTAATTTTTGCATTCTCTGATTCTCTTTGATGGAATGCATACAAGAATACTCTTTTTCATGATGTATTTATCATAAAATATCATCTTGAGTCTAATTATAACAGGGGAATTGAGATTTCATTTTCTGATGGGGGACACATGTATACCCGTGGCTGATTCATGTCAATGTATGGTAAAAACCACCACAATATTGTAAAGTAACTAGCCTCCAATTAAAATAAGTAAATTAATTTTTTTAAAAAGAAAATGAGCCAACATTCTGCTTGGTGTTTGTTAAATTCTCTCAAATTCTGAATTCTCTAGCTCTTAAAAAAAAGTTGGATTTTCAGTCCTTTCCCCAGTGAAGCATGAAATGACTGAATAATAAAATGGCAAAAGATAGTCTACTTTCCTGTTTCTGTGGCTGATCAAGTTGAGAGAGTGCATGTAGTCAGTGATATTCAAGGCAGGTGTGAGGAAGATACACATGCTAAGCACACTACCTGCCCCCACATTTGGTCTGTTTTTTTTGGGGGGGGGGGAGGGTTGCTTATCTTAATTGGAGGATCATTGCTTTACAATACTATGATGGTTTTTGCCATACATCCCACTCTCACTCTTAAAGAACTAATAAAAATCTGAGCCTCATGATATAATCGTCTCTAACCATATCAAGTATGTTATTTTTCCTCTTTGATACATGAGTTTACAAAGTTTTGAAGGGGGCCCCAAGATGGCGGCGCCCAGCGCAGTGGCTGCTGCTGCCTCCAGCAAGAGAGATGGAGGGGGCAGCGGCTTTGAATCGTGGCTAGATGGACGGTTGGAGGCGCTGGGAGTGGACCGAGCCGTTTATGGCGCCTACATCTTGGGTGTCCTGCAGGAGGAGGAGGAAGAAGAGAAGCTGGATGCTCTGCAGGGTATTCTCTCTGCTTTCCTGGAAGAAGATTCCCTCCTTAATATCTGCAAGGAGATTGTGGAACGATGGTCAGAAACTCAGAATGTTGTCACCAAAGTGAAAAAAGAAGATGAGGTCCAGTCCATTGCCACCCTCGTTGAGAAGCAGGCGCAGATCGTGGTGAAGCCCAGGATGGTGTCAGAAGAGGAGAAGCCGAGGGAAGCTGCCCTTCTGGCCCAGTATGCTGATGTGACAGATGAAGAGGACGAAGCGGATGAGAAGGATGACTGGGGCGCCACCACGATGAGCATTGGTTCTGACAAATCTCTGTTCCGAAACACCAGTGTGGAAGATGTCCTCAATGCCCGAAAACTGGAGCGAGACACGCTTCGGGATGAGTCCCAGAAGAAGAAGGAACAGGACAAGCTGCAGAGGGAGAGAGACAAACTAGCCAAGCAGGAACGCAAGGAAAAGGAAAAGGAAAGGACACAAAGAGGGGAGCGAAAGCGATAACCTTGGTCCACTCTATTTCTCCTAATGAACTTGGTCAAAGGGAGACCTGGTTGTGCATTTGTGTATTTAAGAGAAATGAGAGAACATTGCCAGGTAGTTTCCCAAGGCATTTCCCCTTTTGTTTACATGGTCACAAGGAAAATCACAATTCTAGCTAATTACAAAATGTGCCATGTCTCTGTGTGGTGTGGGTAATCAGGTTATTGTAGCTGATGTCTGAACCAAAGATCTGTGATGGGGACAGCCTCTATATTTTAATACTGAAGTCCTGTACTCCTTTTGACCACTTTAAAAAGTCTTCCCTTACCTTGGATAAACAGCAGGAATATTCATAAAGCTGAGTTTTTGTCCTGAAGGAGCTGAATCATGACCACTCCTTCCCTGAGATGAATTATAGGAGTGTCAATTGTTTCAGAAATATTATTCACATCTAAATAAATGGTTTTATGGCTGAAATAGGAAGCTAATGAAGAGCCCTACCCGGATCCACTTTTATGTTACATGGCAACAAAATAGGAAAATAAGAAAAGGTTATTTGGTGGATGTTCTGCATATGATTTTTTTTTTAACTTTCAGCCTATGATAGGAAATAAAGTTTCTTTTAGTAAGAGATAGTTATATATTTTTCCTCATCTAGGCTGTGATTTTAAGAAGGATGTGTCAGTATTGAGTGCAGGGAATCATCATTAGCTAGATTCATTTTTTTATAATCATGAATCCTCTTGAATGCTAGTAGAGATTTTAACCCTGATCTGCCCTAATACAAGGACCTGATAATTACAGGTTTAGAGAAACCCTTTGAAGGAAAAAACACTGAAAATCTCTGCTAACACAAAGATATTTAAGAGTGTACATAGTAGGTGCTCAGCAAATTTATTGAATGAGTGAGTGAATGGAAAAACTGCTTGGGAGAGTTGAAAGTGACTAGGAACTCTCCTCCATTTCTACTTTTGTCACAAACCACATTTGGTAGTAAGTAGCCCTTTCTCTACTTCAGGAAGCAGACTGTCAAGAAGCCTGAAGAGAGCAATTTCTCTGTCAAGACAGAAAGTAGATACATTATACCAGGGTTGGGCAAACTACTGCCAAATTTGGTCGTTTGTTTTTGTATGGTTCGAGCACATTGGATCGCACATTTTTAAAGGGTTGTAAAAGAAAGATCATGCAACAGAGACCTTATGTGACCTATAAAGTGTAAAATACTTACTACCTGGCCCTTCAGAGAAAATGTCTGCTGACCTCTGTTTTATACCATTAACTATGAGATTAACAAAAGTTTTTACTGTTCCACAGAAGGTAAAAAACATGGTTAAGGAAATGATGTGTCACCTCTATACACTCCTATAACCGTGTCATTGTAAAAGTTTTTTAAAAAAATAACCAGCTTTTTAAAAAATAAACTATTTAAATCAGAAAAAAAAAGTTTTGAAGGGCAAACATTGTAACTCTAGTTCTTCCTGCGTGATCAACTTAGCATCTTTCACATATGTGTTTTCCAAATTGCTGACAATTAATTGCATGGTTCTGATTTTAAAGGAAGAACTTCATAGTTAGGAAAGAATTTACTGTGTATTAGCCTTCTAAATATGTTCACTTTACATTTTTGTTCCATTCCATTAGAACATTTAGATGAAAATACAGGTTTCAGACTACTTTCAAGTAACTACACAGCATGATTAAAATGTTCTCCTAGAAAATTCTTAGCCCTAAATATGTGTGCTATTTAAAAAGAAAAATACATAAATTACAAAGCCCATAAATATAAAACCCTACACCCAACATAAAAGGTAAGAAAAAGAGCAACAGAATAAACCTAAGGGAGAAAGAAAAAGATAGTGAATAAAAGACAGGTATGAATTGTTAGGAAGAGGAAAATAAACTCAGCTATTAATAAATAAAGACAATGTGCTAGTTTACATAATTTTTTAACATATATATACACACACATTTTTTAATATTCTTTTCCGTTGTGATTTATCACAGGAGATTGGACATAGTTCCCTGTGCTGTATAGTAGGACCTTGTTGTTTATCCATTCTGAATATAATTGTTTGTATCTGCCAACCCCAAATTGCGAGTCCATTCCTCTCAGTTTACATAACTGTGAAGAAAATGGACAGAGCCCAAGTATACATAATAAGAAATATGAACCCAGACAATAACAGTATCTTACAGAATTAAAACTGAGTATAATCTGGAACTCAGATATTTTCAGAATATTTATTTTCCAGAATATTTTCAGAAAAACAAATATTATTTAACATACCCCACAGTAACTAAATAACAGAACATCACAAATTCCGTGGATGAACTTTTGAAATTGGTCAGAGTTGTCTCTGAAAAGCCCTAATTATCAGTTAGAAAGAAGCAAAAATATCTGCTTTTCCAGATTTTCTTTCTCTCTTACTTGCTTTTCTCTCTGACTCATACTCCCTCTTGCTCTCCCTTTTCTTTTCTTCTCTCCTTTTTCTCTTTTCTTTTTTTGGTGTGGCTGTGAGAAACAGTCGTATTTCTGCTTCACATTTTGATGTCACCATGTCGCCAGTGATAGTAATGACTTAAAATTTGTGTCACCATATAATTTATTATACCAACTGGAATGCTTTCCATGGTGAAAAGAAACATTTAGAATTACATGAGGGCCACAAGTAAAAAGGGGGACAAATGTTTAACCGACTTAAAACAAACATATCAGGGATAAATTAGAACAAATGAAAATTTCTACACTTTTCCACAGTAGAGAAGAAACAAATGTAATACTGGCCTTTTTATTTACTTCACTTAAGCAGTAACAGAGATAACAACTGTTTAGCTATCCTATATTTGGGACTATTATTTCAAACCAACACATTTGAATGATAATTTTTGGGGACTTTTTGTTTCATTTTTTGTGTATTTTGTTTTTCTTAGGGTGTTTTTTGTTGTTAAATATTTTACTGAATGTGTACACAGTGTTGCCTTCTACTGAAAACTACCTTCTGATAGGTTCAATTGGTTTCATTTGTTTGAACTCAGTGTCCTTATTTTCTTGTATAACTAGGAAGAATAGTGTGTTTTTAAAAATACTGGTAATATGCTTGAAAAGTCGATAAAATCTCTAGAGAGGATTAACTGAAGGTAAGCCAAAGGGTCACCCTTATTGTTCTTGTTTTAGTCCATTTTATAAAACTACACCTGCAGTAAACTTTGTATACCTCTCCTATCA